GGCTCTTCATCTGTGAAGGCCTACGATACTAATATTTAATATTAAAACTAAATTATAATGACTAACTAAATTGTAATAAATACTATACATGAAAGTAGTTATGTAGAATATTTTGGTTGGTGGTGGTGGTTGTTTCTATATCTTTACAAGGAAGACAAGGCGCGCGCCTTTAAGAACGCCTTGCAGAGCCTGCAGTATTCTTTAAATCTGTACAATTCCTTATATTTTCTGGCAATTCGTTAAAAATTATAGCGGCTGAATGCTGAAAGGTGCCTTGTACAAATGGAACATAAAGCCTTGGAGCACTGAACACTGAAACGGAGATGCCTAACCGGTTTAAGGACTTGCAAATTTAAATGGGAGGGCCAGTTATCAGAATACATTGCTTTAAAAGTAGTCTTTAGTAGCGAGTAGTCCCTTAGCTCCAGGATAGGTAGCCAGTCAAGATCCAAAATGGTAGATATATTTTTTACGTATTTACAAGTGACAAAACTAGCCATAGCGAACTGGAGCCTTTGTAGTCTAGCTGAGAGGAATTTTGGTAGTGGATAAAAAACGTCACAGTAGCTTATTTTAGACAGAATTAATGTTTCTACCAAATGTTTCCGTAGTTTAAAATTAGTAAAGTTCCATATTTTTCTTAAGGTTCTCAGAGTCGCATAACAAGATTTAAGAATAGAACTGATATGAAATTCCCATTTAAGATTCAAGTCAATGTGTACTGCCAGGAGTTTTGTAACATTTATACGTTCCAGTGGTTTACCGGAGATTCCTAATCTCAACTCTCGATTTCCGAGAGAATGTACATGAACCATCTGTGGAGTTGAGATAAGAATGGTCTTGATTTTCTTAGAACTCAGGACCAGGTTTGAATCATTTGACCAGGCGCCGAGGCCTGCCAGGGTTGCATTCATGCTTTCCGTTTGAGATGTGATCTGCGTTGTAGAACAGCTAGAGTATAATGTTCTATCATCGGCATATTGGAAACTTTTGATTGTAGGTGCAAGAATGTCTTGGAGATCCGCAACGTAGAGATTGAACAACATCGGTCCAAGGATTGAGCCTTGGGGGATTCCAAATTCGGAGAGCACGGGTGACGATTTGCGATCATCAATTTGAACGTATTGTCTCCTGCCACATAGATAATTAGCCAGCCATTCGAGACATGCTTTGAAAAACCGAGGTGATACAACTTGGTTATCACCGTTTTAAAACAAACGGTATCAAATGATTTCGAAAAGTCTGTTAGTACCATAAGAGTTGCCTCTTTCCTTTTCATGGCACTCAATAGGTCGTCCCTTATACCTAAGAGTACCGTACACAACGATGCGCACGACGACGAAATTTCAAAGGCATCCACATTAATTCTTTCATTGCCTCTTTAAAGGAGGGCTTCTTGCCATAGACTTTTTTAGCAAACTTATTTTGGAAGGCCCTTAGCTGTTCCATTTCTGATTTTAACCCTGGCTGATCGCCCCATATTATATCCGTATAGTCTAAGTGAGGTAGCACTAAACCATTGTCGTACGCAAGGCGAGTCTTTTCGTCAAGCATATGGTAAATGCGATTGAAAACACAGATACGATGACCTAACTTCTTGATCAAATTTCGAATATGAGGCCACCAATTCCGTTTTTCGTCAATTGTCACTCCAAGGTATTTAAATAATAATAATAATATCGTAATAAACCCGTGAAAGTGATAAATCAGATACAATGAAATATATGAAGTTCATATATTTTGAACTGCCGTATTAGATACATATGATACACGATCCTCGCTGTAGATAGCGAATCAACTCAACGGCCTGCTCCCAGTTGGCTTGTTAGCTCAATTGGTCGAGCGCTGCACTAGTATCGCAGAGGTCAGTGGTTCGAGTCCCGTACAGGCCTGATTTTTTTCAGGTCTGATTTTCGCTATTGCTTAAATAGCGCTATCTACTGCGAGGATCGTGTATCATATGTATCTAATAC